GATCCTACGTAAAAGCTTCGACTTATGCATTCTCCCCCTCCCCCAGCGGACTCAAGAACACCAGACCAGCAAATCCTACCTCCATCCTACATCATGATCTTTTCCTCTACTGGATCATTTCCATCAGTATATGAAATTTTTCAAGCACTTTCAAGACAAGCAAACAAAAATCTCTCCTTGACCTGATTTCCCTCCTTTGATTATTACCTTATTTCTCTGTTAGCTTTTGTAGCCAAACAGTTGTCTATACTAGCTGCCTCTGATTCCTCTGCTCCTGTTCTCATCTCCAATCCATCTTTTGTGCCACCACTGATCTGGTTTTTTCAAGGCCAACAAAACCGACAAAAATAAAACCCTACCATAAAGAAAAATGAATGAGGCAGCCCTGAGTAAAAGAAGAGGGTGGGGTAGGTGGGAGAAAATCCTAAATTCTAGCAGCTGGATTGACTCCCTGTATCATAAGAATTCCTTACGTAAACTGTCTTCTTTCCACTCCATTTGAAAAATACTTCCTTTCTACACATTTTCTTTATTTTTTCTGGAACCTACTCTTGCCCAGCTTCTGAATATCAGATTAACCTGCTCACCATTTAGGGGAAAGGAGAGTAAAACCAAATCATAGCAGTGAGCGAGAGAGCTTTCATTTACATTTAACTACGAAATCAATGTGGAAACTCAGAAAACTAAAAGACTCTTTTACCCAACCAGGAATGAATTTTTTTTAAGTTTGAGAAAGAATTAGCCCCCAAACAATATCCCTCTATCCTGAAATGAATGTAGTTGCCATTTGTGATAATTTTGAGCTATCCCTCTTTATAAATGGCCTTGCCAGAAATTTTGTATATTAACCCCAGGCAGGTTAGAAAGTCTGGCTGCAGCACTCTGCTTACTGATGTTATCAAAAGGGACAACTGTGACTTATCTCAGTGAGGTGGGCTCAACTCCCCTTGCAGGCAAGGTGGTTCCTATTGGGGACTGCACCACATGAGGCTGACATTTGACAGCTGTCCTGGTCAGTTGGATAATACAGGAAACGTCATGGATTGTGCAGACCAGCGCTTAGCAAAATGCAAGTCACAACCTATTCGTGGGTTATGAAATTAATATCGTGGGTTAACCAATTTTTTAAAAATTAATTAATTAATTTTATTTTTGGCTGCACTGGGTCTTTGTCACTGTGTGCACTCTTTCGCTACTTGCAGCGAGCAGGGGCTACTCTTTGTTGGGTTGTGTGGGCTCTAGGTCTGTGGGCTCAGTAGTTGTGCTCGCGAGCTCTAGAGCACAGGCTCAGTAGTTGTGGCGCATGGGCTTAGTTGCTCCGCGGCATGTGGGGTCTTCCCGGACCAGGGATCGAACCTGTGTCCCCTGCATTGGCAGGTGGATTCTTAACCACTGTGCCACCAAGGAAGTCCACCAATTTTTAGAAGATGAAATAGAAGAGAAAATATCAGAGTTCAATACACACACTCAGATTATGACATAGTTCACAAGACCTTGGTTTCCATTATGAAGAGGTACATCCTGGATCATAAAATTAAAATTTTAAAAATTAAAGCCACTAGTCTAGATCCATTCATAATGCAATAGCCAGAGTGGTTGAATGCACTAATCAAAATTAGAGGACGTTTGGAAAATTTCCACATCATTTTCAGCATCATATATCACCAAGCATATATGCCTGACACAGGGGAAATCCAGAGAACTTTAGAGAGAAGCTTTCCTTTATAGAACCAGGTGAAGAGCTTGAAATTAGTTTCTAACGTAAATTGCCATCATGGAGACTTTATAATTTACAATCCACTTTCACAAACTTCATCTTATTTGAGTCTCTTGTTCAGCCTTTGTAGTAGGCAAGACAGGAAGGTGACAGAATCTCAGACAGGTTTCAATGATCTATTTAGTTTAGTCAGGAGCCCAGCCAGCAGCTGGGAGAAAAGATCTAGCCCCACAGCCCCAGGGAGAGAATTGGCAAGGGTGCAAAACCACATGTGGGTCCCAGCCAAATAAACGGAGGTTCAGGGCAGAACTCCAGTTTCAGGAGGGAGAATGGAAAAGATGAACAGGAACTAGGGCAGAAGCCCAGGTATTAAACCAGGCTCACAGGTGGCCAGGCTCATCCCCAGCACACTGGATTCTAAGCTCACCCTTGCAGAGTTACAGATCCCATAACCGGCTTTTGAAGAAGCAGCAGGAGAATATCATGTGGATAAGGGGCAGGATGGAGAGGCTCTCAAGCACTGATAAAGGCATGAAGAGACCAGTGGGGAATGGCAAGTTAATTAATCTGGCTGGCATGGGTAGTGAGGGCTGCCAGGTAAAATACAAGATGCCCCTTTAAATCAGGATTTCAGATAAACAATGAATATTTTAGTATAAGTATGTCTCATGCAATATTGGGGACACATGTATACCAAAAAATTGTTGTTCATCCGAAACTTACATTAAACTGGGCAGCCGGTAGTTGTATTTACTAAATCTGGCACTCCTACATGTGGGTCTTCTGGAGGATGTGGCTAGAAGGCTTGGCAGGGCAAGACCACGAAAAATCTTACGTGCTATGCTGGGCAGATAGTGAGGAACCATGAAAAATTTTAAGCAGGGGAATAATATAATCGGGTTTGTATTTTAGAATCACCATTAGAGTAGCCCTTTGAAGAACAAAATAGTTCAGAAAGACAGGAACTGAGAGACCAGAAAGCTATTTAAATAGCCCAGACTCAAGGAGAATTGAAAATAACTGCTCACTTCACAATTCTGCCTAATGCTAGCGCGATTTCCAGGTTCATGTGGGCAACAGCGACCAAACTATTCTTTCCAGAGCTGCTCTTTGTTTCAAGGAACAAAAAACTTTGGGGGTGGGGCAAGGAATAGATATATTTTGTCTTGCCCAAACCCTGTGCCTGTCATATACTTCTTGAGGAAGATGGAAAGATATGTGTATATATCCAGCTCCATGTAGTAAGCTCATGTCTTGCTCACCATCACATCCCAGAAGGTAATCAACAAACACTTGTTGAATGAGTTCCTTAAGGACAAAGTCTATCTTCACCATCTTTGTTTCCTTAGCATCTGACCCAGGGCTGGGAATAAGTTTCTCAAAATAGTTCTTGATTAAAGCGATCTAATTAATTAACAACCAGAAGTGCTTCCTATTAACTACATTTATCCAACATTACATCAAAGGTACAACCTGGCATATTTTTCACAACCTGGCAAAAGAAGCCCTGCCTCATCTATGGGACCAGAAAACTTTTCGAAAGCTGCATAATGATGCTGATTAGAGGGAGTTTTAAATGTAATTTTCCTCATTTGTGTGAAAATGAGCGGGTTTTTTTTTCTTTTGAGGTGTTTTGTTTGGTATTTTCCTAACTGCTTCCACAAGTATTGTCAGTGCCTGACTGTTAATAAATCTAGATCTTAATTAAGTATTTCTCAGGTAGATCATCATAAAGTGGTATGAACCAAGTACTTGTCTTCAGTCCTCCAGTATCAGTACAGTTACTGGCATATGTATCTTTTCCAAGGCTGAAGTGTGAACTTGAAGGCAGGACTTTATTCTCATTTATCTTCATAGTCACATTACTTTTACTAATAGCAGTTTTGTTGAAGGGTCAAGAGTAGGAAGCCAAAAGGGATAGAATAATTCTAAAAAGTGCATGGGGTAAATACAATAACAACATTATTACAGCTACTTGTTATTAAAAATTATGTTCCAAGTACCATGAGAGGTCTTTACATATATTTTATTAAATTTCAGTCCTAAAAACTCCTCTTTGAGGTAGGTGTTGTAATCCTCATTTTATGCATAAAGAAACAGAGAATCAGAACTGATGAATAATTTACCCAGGATGACACAGCTAATAGATTTGGCAGAGCTGAGATTAGGACCTGATTCCAAAGTTCATCTCACACACCAAGAATTGGCATTTTGCAAGTGTGTATTGGAGAGATGAAAGAAGATTGTTGGAGTGCCTATAAGAGTTCTCTTTTATCAGCAACTATGTAATACCCCAGAGGACTAAAGTGTGATAAAGAATATAATGATGTGAGTGCACGGATGTGGAAGACAAGAGGTATAGAGGTATTCCCTATATTTTTGAGCTGTGTCCCTTTTCTCTCTGTTGAGCTTTGTGTTTAAGGGAGCACATGACATGACATATAATTAGGCTTCATCTCCACCTTGCTGGAAGTTGTTATGGTTGCCCTTAAAATTATTATCACACTGTTATTATCTGGGATGAAACATATGAACTTTAGATGTTACGATCAGTAATATCAGCTTGTCTGCCCTATCCAAAGGAATACGTTCAGTTCATGCTCAGATATGCAATGGAACCTCATCGATCTGGATGTGTCTGAGCTCACCTGTGACAGTCCAGATCCTTCTCCAAGCTGTAATTACATATATCAGCTATTCTCCAATCCTTTAAAGTTGCAAATGTGCACTTTTTGTCCAGATGCTGACATCTTTCCAGAAGCCCTCTTCAGCTTGCTCAACTGCCAGCCTCCTTACTTAGTTCACTGGGTTCCAGGAAGAATCCGAGTCTCATAAAGAATGCTGCCTCTGATCATTTAATTCCAGGCTGAGCAGAGTAAAATCAGTTTGAACCTCACCAAACTGAAAGTCTATGAAAGTAAAACTTTTGGAGTCTATGAAAGCAAAACTCAAAGGGCAAGTGTTGGCATAACTAATTATATGAATTAGATGGAATTTGAAGAGGAACCAAATATGGTAAAAAGAGGGGAGATAGCAGTTGGTTTAATAAAAAAAATTGAGAAAGCAAATTATGTTTTTCTTGGCTCTGTAAATTAGAAGCCAAAAAATGGTCCGCAGAGGTGTAAGAATCAAAAAGCATCTCCAGTGTTCCGCTTTCACCAAAAACATGGAAGAAATTTCCTAGAAATGGTCAGGATGGAATTATAGAAAATATCCTCTTCAGACCTTCACTGGTTCATTCACTGCCAGGCAGGGTGCTAAACATGGGAGATATAAGATGAACATGGCCGTGACCCTCAAAGCTTACCCTCTAGTTCAGGGAGGTACATCAACTGTCCTGTACAATGAAGTGTGAAAGGCACCAGGAAATAAATATAAAAGGGACACAGTGGGTGCACAAAGGGGGAGTGGTCATCTCTGTGATTCTAATAAAATTACTTCATAGCAATCATGTAGGGTTGTTTAGTGAGACGGCAAACTGTCGCATGGAAAGGGGAAGGAGAACCTGAATTAACAGATATACTGGAGTCAAGGCACAAGGAAGGGGGGTTTGAAGAAGCAATCAGTTCACACCAGTCCTAAGACGTGAATGATCTGGTAAGTGTTCTCCATCTTTAATTTCTAGGTTATGAATTTCACAAAGCAGAATTGCTGCTATACGTCGTCGCTAAGTTAACTCCCGTCCCCCCTCCCCACTTTCCATCGCCACCCCACTACCAGATGTATCAGGTGAGTAGGGCTCAATTCGAATTAAATGTGTCACCTGGGGCAACTCTTCACTACGCAGGGCCTCAGTTTCTTCGCCTGTAAAGTGAGACACCCGAACCAACTCTGAAGTCCATTTCTGCTCAGAATTACTAAATAGGACAAGAAACCAGAAAGGAAACTCAAGAGAAACAAAAGTGAAAGTGCCCAAAGGAAATACAGTAGTAAACAAAAGCACAAAATTCTATATCTCACTGAAAAATGTGGCAGAGTTCCCAAATACTTTTTTCAGCAACCCGTGAACACGAGACTTGGGAGAGAATGAAATGCCTATCACGCCCTCTGAATGTGAATGAGATGAGTGTAACACGAATCCACCTTGCTCCATGCAACTGTCTTCTTAAACAATGACCCTGAACAACCATTTATTAAAATTTTCTTTCTAAATAAGTCAATCCGCGATGAAAGGTCCGTCCCCACGTAACAAACCCCACGGACCACCACACAAGGGTGTGTCCCGCTTTGGGAAGAGAGAGAAAAGGGGGTAGAGAAAGAGAGGAAGGAAGGATTCGAACCAATATTAGATTCTGCCTAGTGTGTTGCCACGCGGTTGTTATGCAGAACATCATGGAAGCAAACTATTTTAAAACTTGGGAAATACAGTAGCCTTTAAATTTGATCATTTCCTCCTTCACGGTGTTAGTGAGACTTCTCTGCACGTAACCCAGAACGGTACACCCGCCCGGGAGGGAGAGCGCGAGCTCTGGGGTGGACCGGCAAGTGAAGGCGGCCAGAGGAAGGGACAAGGCTGACAGCTTCGCAGAGCGTTGGCGGCGGGTGTGAGACCGGGACCCGCGACCGCCACGGCTACAGGGTTCGAGCTGGACCCTCCGGGGGCACAGGGCTCCCGAGGTGGGAGGATGCTCCCTGCCCACTGCGGGAGCCTCCCTCCTCTGAGCAGAGGAGGCAAGGGCGCGCAGTCGCGCGCGCGCGCACACATCATTCCCCTGGAGTTGTGTCTTGTCTCTTTTGTTTTTCTCCCTTCCCGGTCATGAGACCCGGAAGTTTTTTTTTTTTTTTTAATCCTGTCTCTCTCTTTTCCAACCCCCACCCCCCCAATCTATCACATGGCAGAGATAGAATAAAAACAGAAAAATGGCGACGGTCACGTTGTGGCGAGCACGTTGTATCCTTGCTGCGTCATTAGATAATCCTCATGCAAATAGCTTGAAGAACAAAGGAAGGGGGGCCCGAGACCCCCGGGGGCGCAGGTGGGTGTGGGGGCGGCGTGCCGGGCGCGGGGGTGGCGGTGCGTGCGCCAAGCCGAGCGCCGGCGGGAGGCGTGCGGCCGCGCGGGGTTCCGTGCGCCGAGTGTCTACGTCCGTGTGCGCGCCCCTGCGGCGCGGTGGAGCGCTGGCCGGGCCGCTCCTGGCCGGGTCTTGCGGCGCCAGAGCCCGCCACCCGCCCGCCCGGGGGCACGGGAAGCCGGGGGCCGAGGAGAGCTGTTCCGGCGAGGCCGGCCGCGACGCGCGCACACGCACACGCCGCCGCGGGGCTCGGCCGGCTCGGCGGCCGCGCGGGGGGCGGGCCGAGGGCGGGCCGGGCGGGGGCCGAGGGCGCGCCGCTGTCCGGCGCTGGGCGGCTGCCTGCAGCCGCCGCGGGGGACCGCACGCAGCTCGCCACCTCGGGGTGGGCGGCGGCGGGGCGCCGGGGCGGCGGCACTGAGCGAGCTGGGACCCCGCACTCTCGCACGGACTTGGAGGGTATTGCTGGGCTGGGTCTGTTGTGCTTGGGGTGTGTTTTTTTCCTGCGGGGTGGGGGTGGGGGTGACCTCGCCCATCGGCATTTGCGCGGTTTCCCTCTGGCCCTCGCTGGGGTGTCAGGAGCGACGCAGGTTGGACAAGGGCGCGGGGAGACCCCCGGTGCCCCGCTCAGGTCCCCTGGCGGGCCGGCGGCGCGGAGGGGCGGGGCGGGTATGTGTAAATGTTGCGCACTCGCTTTTCCCCCACCCCCGCCTGCTTCCAGGCAGCTGGCGTGGGTCCCTCGCCGTCCGGCGGCGACTGTAAATAGAGCCTGGATGTTGTTTACATGAAGGATCCGGCGGGAGGAGTCTGCGAGAAGGAGGCGGAGGAGGAGGAGGGAGGGAGGAGAGAGGAAGACCGGAGTCCCCGCGGCGGCGGCGGCGGCGGCGGCGGTGGCGGTCCGGGGTGAGGGTGAGCCCTGCGCGGCGCGGGCACCGGGCGCTACCACGAGGCCGGGACGCTGGACCCTGGGGTAGGAGGGAGAATGGGCTCGGGGCGGGGAGACGGGGTCTGTCAGAGTGGCATTTTTAGCTTACAACCTGCCACGCAGATTCTCCGGAGCGATAGAGGAGGGGTTTGCGGGGAGGGCGGGGAAGACTGGATTTCTCTGCACGTTCATTCTCCTATCCCCAATCTTTTCCCGCTTCCTTTCGGGGCTCACCTGTTTATTTCCATCAGCCAGAGCTTTCAGTTTTTATTTAGACATGAGAGGCTGTTTCTTTTATTAGAAGCGTAATTGGGGAGGGGGGTGCGTGGCTGTAATTTATGCCGGTCCCGGTCGCTTTTCAAGAAGGGGGAGGGGACTTGGCGGAGACCGCCTGTTCCCGGCCGTAGCTAACCCCAGGGCTTCTCCCTGCCTTCCCGCGGCCAAGGAATCTTTTCCCTCACTCAGCTACCCGCAGGCCGGCTGCCACCTTCTTGGAGAAGGACCACACCTGTGTTTATTCCTCGCTTTGGAAGAGAGGTGAGCTGAGAAACCGGGAAATCCTGTGTTCCCCAAAGCTCTTAGCCAACCATCCCATCCCAGAATTGGCCAGAAAGTGCTGCTTTCACCTGCTGATTGCGCTGGGCACGCCCATCCCCCCACCCCGGCAAGTTGTGGTCTACAGATGTGTTGGGATTTTCTCTTGCCTCTGGACCTGCACCCCACCACCCGGCGACTAACTGCTGGGTTTAGATTGAGAGAGAAGTGATCCCCTTGGATTTAGTGTGCGTTCTGCATTCCCCAGTGGGTCTTCCAATGGAATCGTCTGCTCTTCCGCCACAGCCCCCTTTATTCTTCCACTAAGAGCTTAGTCCAGAATCTGGCCTAAGCAGCCAGTCTCTGGCTCTCTTTTTCTGGGCTCCACCCTGGCCCCTCTTGGTTCTCCAGAGCCAAGCACGCCTCCCAAGCAGAAGGCACACCCTGCCCTAAATCTCCTCCATTCCGAAAGGGAGGGGAAAACAGTGGAAGAGAAGGGAGCCAGGGGTCTTCCTTCTGTCCTGAGTATCCCCAACAGCATTTCCCTCTTCAAGCTTGCTGGATTTATAATCCCTTTTTTCTTCTTATCAGCTGCTACCCCCCACCCTTTGACCCTAGTCCTATGATAGATACTTAGGGAGGTGCGGATGGGGGGGTGGATTGTCACCCCTTTTTCCTGGTGCGAGGCATTTTCCTTCTCCTTGGTCTTTTCATTTTTGAGACGCTTAACAAGTAAAATATGTAAATATGTTTGCATGCTTATTTGAACTTGTTTTCTTGCTGGCTAATGAATAGCTGGGACTCAAAAGGGAGGGAGGGGAAAGCGACGAGAGGTGCACATTCCCGCTGGTGTCCCCCACATGAACATCCCCAGAGTTGCAGGAGGAGACCCTTCTGTGAAAGCCAACAGTCTCCCTTCCATGACATCACCACCTAAGCCCTTCCAACTTTAGCTTCAGAACAGGAAGAAGGCTCAAAATAGAACTACCTTAGGAATCCAGCTCCTTTTAGAAGATCAACTTTTAAATCAGCTGCAGGAGGAACACTGAACTTTGACATGGGTAGAGAAAGCTGTAGTGTTTGTAGTAATTGGTTCTTTGGGGGAAGGGTATGGGGATACTTTCCACGTATATTCACGAAATGCTTTTCTCAAGGTCAGTTGGGTACCTAGACCAATGAATGATTAATCAGATGGTTCTAGATTCTTTATTGAATTATTCATGTGTTTCGGTATGTCAACAGTAATAAGTACTTTTCAGAATGAATTAAAGAGGGGCTCCTAGAATGTGCTCTAGAGAGTCTGCTAGAGATAGAGGAGGTTGTTGGTGGGGAGGGAGCTTTTGAAGGCGAGGAATCTGAGGATGCAGTGACAGCTGTTGTGAGTATGGAAGTTGAGAGGCTTACTATAAACAATACCTGTAACTTTTGCAGGGTGACTAATATCCTGGACAAAGAATTAACGATGTCAGGATTTTCCACCTTTACCTCGAAAATTAACTCCATATCTTTGAATCATGATGTCTCCATTTTTTTCCCTGAATTCTCTGAGCAGAAAGAGTTGTTCAGTCTTTAGGAAGGGCTGCTTAATAAATGATCATCACTGAAGTATTAACGACCATAAGGATTAGAAGTAAGGCAGAAAATACTTGGCATAATTTGAGTACCTGGTGGGTGCTGTAGAATGACTTGCTGGGTGAAGGGTTCCGGTTTGAAAAAAAGTCCGGATGACAGGACTTTCTCTACCTGCATTAATGCAGTAGCCACTAGCCACGTGTGGCTGTCAAGCACCTGAAATCTGGGTAGGGTGATAAGTCGATTTTTAAATCAAAAATTGGTGTTCCATTCAGTTTTTGGAAAACTTCGTTGTGTTTGGAAACAAGTTGGATATGTGCATCTACTTTTTAAGCTGTAACTTTTATGAAATCTAAATTCAGATTGAGTATTTCTGATGAAGGTTTAGTGTTCGAGTTGACATGTGTTATAAGTGAATATGCTCTGGATTTCAAAGACTTAGTACAAAAAAAGAGTAAAATAGCTCACTAATGTTTATATCGATTACATGTTCCAATGAAGATATTTTGGGTATATTGTGTTAAATGAAATTTATGGTTAATGTCACTTTAACCTGTTTATTTTTTAGTTTTTTCAAAATGTGACTACTGGAATATCTAAAATTACATACATAGCTTGCTTTTTACTTTTCTGGGACACCGCTGGCCTGTAGCATTGCTCCTTTTTCTCCCTGGATTAATTTCAAAAGAGGTGACTGCGTGAAATACAGTTCCTTCATGTTTGTCAACCATTTACTTTCCCCTGCTATTTTCCATTTGGAGATTTGGGAGCATCAAGAGTTAACTATCACAGTATATGAGACTAATAGTGACTGCCCTGCAGATTTCTACGCAGGAGGCGTGCCCTGCGCAGGAAGGTCAATAAAGACGTCCCGGGTGCTGGAAGGGCTGGTAGGGGTGTCTTGGGAAAACTTAGCGATCCACATATCTGGCCAGAGCTGCTTTTGTAAAAGGTTCCTGGGCATGCCAAAATATATCAGAGAACAGTTCGTGGTACTGTAACAGTCATGACACCTGGTGGCATCTTAGTGATGCCACCCACCTTTGTTTATTTTCTCTTTCTTTGCATTCACTTTCTGCCCTCACTTCATAGCTCCATTGGTGGTAATTGGGCCCACAAGGTTCCTGACCCTTTTCCTCCAACAAAAAAGTATAATGTCGACCTGAATGGAGATGTTGCTATCTTTGGAGTTTGGTTTTATCTAATGAGATTCAGTAATGGCAGTGGAAGGGGCTCGGGCCTTTAGTACTCTCCCCTCATTTTGTAGATGACAAACTGTCAAGTATCTTGCCGGTTGACATACAGAGAGAGGAATTAAGCATGTACGTTTGTTGATAAGCTATTTCGAGAATCCCTGGGAAATGAAGAAGTTTGTCAATGAATTAGGCAAGTATTTGTTGAGCTTGCACTCTATGGAAAGGACTGTGATGAATGTTGTGGAAGGACATGAAGACAGCAGTCTCTGACTTCAGGAACAATGCTGTTGATTTGAGGAAATCAGATGTAAACAGCACCAAAGTAAAGCACAGTTTAAGATACAGCACTTCATAATGAGTGCAGTACCTCTGTGTTACAAGTAGAAATGTGTTCCTTTTCTATGTGTTACAAGTAGAAATGTGTTCCTTTTCCCGGTGTAGGAATAGAAGCTCTGAGAATGGTGGACTCTGCAGAAAAGAGGAGTGTGATTGTGTTTCTGGAACAGCCCAAGGCTGTAGAAGTAGAGGTCAGTGCACGTCTTTGGTATCGCCCCCTTTAGCTGGCCATTCAGGGAATTTGAAAGGTAAGACCCAGCATTTCTAAATGGCAGTGCTGCCAGTAATGAGGAAATCATACATTAATTGGAGACACCCAGGGTTTTTAGAGAGACTAGCTAGGGGTGGGTCATTTTGAAGTCAGCTGGTGTATTTTTGATTGGTTATTCTAAAAGGGTATGATAACAGAGGTGGGACGGAATAAAATTGACTTGTGAGCCGACAGAAATCCAAAATCTGGGGAAAAAAAATAAATCTCGAGCAAAATCCAACAGTGAAAGAAGTAGACAGTTGGAGTACAAGTGTGTTTTCTGAGTACACATGTAAAGGGGAAAGGTCCATAGAATAGAATATTATATTCTATTAAGCATGAAGTGGGATGGTCCATTTATTTTAGATTTTTAGTCTCCTGGAGCCTTTTTGGACTAAAATGCCCACCAGTTCGTTCCTCTTTCTGTCTCTGCATTATTGTATAGAGACCTTCTGTGTTAGGTTTTTTCTTCATGACCTGCTGAGGTTATGCAGCGTGACTATTTAGAGGCCAGTGCTTGGAATGGGTAAAACAATGTCACCCCCTCTGTAATTACTCCCAGTTAATGCTTCTCTGTGAGAATTGGGGCTGACTTGGCCAAGGCAGTCGTCCTTGGCTTTTCCTTGCCGTTTTAGCTGATTTATTTCTCCTAAGGAAAGCAAAAATTGTGTAACCCCCTTATTCCTGATTTCCTACTAATCTTGGCACAAGTTAGTTTTCGAACACTATTACCAGCAAAGCTTTGCCACGAAACGCAGGTATGCGTTTTCTGTATTTCTGACAAAGCAGTAGTTGACATTTAGCACTTTCTGTTGACAGTACATTTTTATAACATGACAGTTTGGTCAAATGCGCACATTTTATAATGTCACTGAGTTGGATTGTGGTTTTCAAGTTGGGGAAGAAAAAAACATCACACTTTAGTAAAAGACCAGTGGATTGAAATTAACCTGTTTAAACTATTTTAATTTTAAAGTATTGTCAGATATTTTACATGCCAGCAGTTCATTTCATGGTTCCTCCAGTTATTTAATCTATAATCAGATACTTAAAAGTTCAAAATCACTGTATTTTCACTTTCGGTCTGTTGATAAGAGAGACGTGACATGTTTTTTGTGTGTGCACATTGTTCGTATACCAGTTTGCCAGTAGTACTTGGTTTTCTAGTTGATAATATTTGGTGCATGCATCACGAAGAAATTGTTCTTGTATCATTTGCATCATAGAAGAACTGAGTGTAAAATCAGGTTGATCTCTGGAGGAAAGCATTTTACGTCATTATCTTTTTCTTCCCCTCTCACTGTGCAGTATACTTCCGTACTGTAGCATTAGCACCTGCCATCATTCGTTTTAAAATGAAAATAAGTCAATTTTTTTAAGAAAAATCTACTGAAAAAGAAGTGTTTCTGATAGATTTAGTTTTTTAAATGCGCATTTATAAGAAATAATTTCCATGAAGAAAGAAAACGTTTTAAGTGTTTACTAGTATTTATAAAATACAGTTCTGAAAACCCACATTTTTTTCTTCCTTGAAACTGCTTTAGAGTTATTCTGAGAAAATCACAGAGTAATGGCAGTTTGCTTTTTGTTATTACTTGGCCTCTAGGCTCCCCGCCCTATCCCCCCACGCCCAGTTTAGGTAGATAAATGAGAGAAAAATAAGGAAGTAAAGGACATACCCATTACTTTTTGTACCAAAAATCTTTAGTTGTCTGATTTTTGGTCATGGCTAATAGAGTGAATTTCAACTTTGTAGCACATTACAAACATTAAGTTCGGGTTTGTTGACTTCATATTTAGACATTCAGTTGCATTAGTACTCAGTCTTTGTGAAGAACAGTCTAATAACTACTAAGTATATCAGAGTTGTTTATTTGTCCCCATACTTACTTACCCTCTAGTATCTCACAGTAAGTATTCCTCTTTTCCAAAACTGACAAAACTTGTGGCTGGGAATTGTTCGGTGGTAATCTTTTTATCCTTTTTGATGTATCAGCTATCTAAAATTTCATTCTCAAATAATCACAATAGCTTTGTTCATGTAACAGATGTTTATAATTTGGGTAAAATGTGCGACTATTTCCAGGAACCTTAGGTTAAGGGATCCAATTTTTTTTTTAATCTTCATTGCCCTCTCGTGTTTCAACTCTGTATTACATCAGTTGGCTAAGACCTAAGCGATGACCTCTTTAACTGTTACATATTTTTGCACTTCAGAGAATGTTGTTTTAATTTGTATGTGGGTGGATTGTTTCACTGGATATTCCTTTTCTGAAGATGAGGTCAGTTTCATAGTGCATAAACTTAACAGTTGAGCTAGGCTCACTGTACTCTGCTATTTTCTGACCTGTGCTGATCTAAAGAATTGATTGATCTCTCTGACTTATTTGAAGTAGAGAGCTAGTATCTAATTTGCATATAATGAGTCTTTGAAACTGAGCAAATGCCTAATTGAAAACAGTTATTTTTCAAATATCTGTCAAGTTACACTCATATTGAAATAACTTGAGAACTTATGACTGATATGGAAAAAAAATGAGTGACTCATGGCTTTAATAAGTTGATTATTCTGAAGCCTGAATTCTAGTTTCAGAATCTTTTTGTCCTTTTTGTTAAAAGTACATCATCCCTGGGACTTCCCTGGTGGTCCAGTGGTAAAGAATCCGCCTTACAGTGCAGGGGACAAGGGTTCGATCCCTGGTTGGGGAACTAAGATCCCACATGCTGCGGGGCAACTAAGCCCGCGCGCACCACAACTACGGAGCTTGCGCGCCTCAACTAGAGCCTGCGTGCTGCAAACTACAGAGCTCACGCGCTGTGGAACCCACGCACCACAACCTGAGAAGAGAAAATCCTCATGCCACAACTAGAGAGAAGCCTGTACACCACAAGGAAGAGCCTGTGTGCCGCAATGAAAGATCCTACGTGCCTCAACGAAGATCCACGTGCCAACCAAGACCCAACGCAGCCAGAGAGAAAAATAAATAAATCTTTAAAAAAAAATGTCCATCATCCTTGAAGATGACTTCAGGGTACATCTCAAAGGTACAGATAATTTTAAAGCAAGTGATGTGTATGTGTTGATTTTTTTAAAGGCATTCCAAAGGTTGTTAACAATCCTTCATCCTAACTGTAAAATTGACATAACTTTAGTGAAAACACCTCACAGGTGTGATAAATATGTAATCATCATTAGTGTCATCAATTTGAGTATATTCTTAGCACTCAGAGCAAGAACAATAAAAGTCATTCTTTTTGCTAGTTTTTCTTAAATCATAAAACTCCCACAAGCTTCTGCTTCATGATCTGAGATGCTGAGAAAACTAAAAATTTTAAGCAAAAAGTAGATGTTTTCAGAAACTTTGTTTGCATAAATTGTGTAAACTGAATATTCCCTTGATGGAGTTGAATGGCTAGGTTGGGGTAGAGAAAAACACTAGGTTCAGTCATTTGACATGGATTTGAACTCAGGTTCAATGTAACTTAGTGGTATGATCAGGTAAATCACCTAACCTCTCTTAGATTTTTATTTTCTTTCTGTAAAATGGGCTAATGATACCTAACATATTCCAGAATCCTTTTGTGATGAATTAATGAGTAATTCATTGACAACCCCATAGGGGTTCTTGTGAAAACTAAAGCAGAAAGCCATAGAAAATTACTGAATGTTAGGCAGATATGAAGTATTCTTGCCATGTTTGATCACGAGCACTTTGAGGATAGGGACCAGGTCTTATTTATCTTCATTTCCTGGACATCTAGAAGAGGTCTTGGAATATAGTAGACCCTAAGTAAATATTTATTGCATGAATGATTGAGGTCAGGCAGATGGAATCAGCAAATCCATGCACCGAAGAGGTAACACTGTGAAGTAGAGCTGGAAAGCATATGTGATGTATTCGTGGTTGCTCATCAATATGTATAAATCATATGTTCAGTTTTTGTCTTAATATAATTCAACCAGGCGTTTTACTATTTCAGCCTCACTAATTGTTGGGCTGTGACACTACTTTTTCTTCTGCTTCCCCAAATCTCGAACCAGAAGGGGATCTTGTAGTCTTCCACTTCCTGGGGAGCCTTCAGAGGGAGTCACGCAGCCACCCGGAAAGGATGCTGCCGGCCGACACAGTGACTGACAGGCTGCCCTGGCTCAGTTATCACAGTGCTGATGCTGTCCATTCTAAAGGTACAGTACTGTGATAACTGAAGGATGGCAGCCATCTTGCCTTCCATCAGAGGAGCTCTGTCGTGCCTGGGAAGGAAGACAGAAGATGAAAGAGGCATGTGAAACAGTGGCAGGGACCCAGAAACCCTCTTACCCTGTTCCTGTATTGTGCTTTCCCTAGAGCACAGGGAATGTTATTCCATCTGTCTTTGCCCTGTTTTGTGATATGCGACTAAAGAGGAGTTGGGTAGTTGTTTGCCTTGTTGTACTGAGCAGACATGTTATTAAGATCTTTTGGGACTTTTAAGAGACTGATTTGGGGTAAGTGCGAAGTGTGGATTAGTATCTCTGGAGTGGCATTCACAGACATTGTGCCACTTTTGTAAACGTAAAAAGTAACCTGATTAAAATATCTTGATGCTTGTCAATATTAGACGTTCAGAATGAAATTCAACTTAAACAGGGAGAAAAAAGCCCTGCGTGTTGAACAGTATTCATATTATCGTGCGAATAAAATTACGTCTTTGTGTTTAAGAGTGGATAGAGACATGTCATGTTTCTTTCCGTAACAAAATTTAGAGGTCCCATTTCCTGTCAACAGGAAATCCTGGGCTCAGTCTGGGGCGTGAGCTCCAGAGGGCCTGCCTAGGCCTGGAGGTCCTTGGCGCTTTGGGGCAGCTCATAGATGTAAGGGGTTTCCAGTGGGTTAAGTGAGACGTGATGCAAGCAGAATATGATGGGGTTTTTCAACTGCTTTGTTTAAAACACACATACACACGATGTGTGTTTGGTTGGTGTATTCATTGTATTCTTCAGTTTAGGTATGGGAGAATGGGAGGACTGGAATTAAACTCAGGAATATCCCATGATCCAGCATTTCCACTTCTGGTTATATACCCAAGTGAATGGAGTCAGATATTTTTGCACCCGTGTTCACAGTAGCATCATTCACGATAGCCAAAAGGTAGAAGCAACCCAGGTGTCCATCGATGAATGTGGATGAAGTGTTTATACGTACCACAGAATATTACTCAGCATTATTAAGGGAGAAAATTCTGACACGTGTTACGACACGGATGAACCTTGACGATAGCTAAGTGAAACGAGCCAGGCACAAAACAGTGCATGAGTCAGTCGTCTTATATGAGATTCCTACAGCAGTCAGAGTCATAGAGCCAGAGGAATGGCGGTTGCCCAGCACTGCAGGAAGGGGGAAATGGGAAATTCACGTTTAACAGAGTGACTGGGAAGATGAAAAATTTCTGGAGTAGGATGATGATGGTTGCACAATGTGAATGTACTTAATACTACAGAACTGTACACTTAAAAATGGCTAAAATGGTAAATTTTATGTCTATTTTACCACCACCAAAACCAAAAAAAAAAAAAAGGGCAAGGTAATAGCACTGTTGCAGGATTGAATTGATTGCTCTCTTCTTTAGACAGTCTTCAGTGTGAAGATAATTGCTGTTTCAAATAAGCAATTAAAATGTAATTCCCATGTCTTTATGCATTTAAAGTTCTCTAATCGGTAGACTGTTAGACATATGTCCAGAGTTTCTCACATAGCATAGCTTTAAAATTTTGTAAAATATAAAGAAAACTAAGTATAATAACAATGAAAGTACTAAAAGTAGAGTGAAGAAAAGGCCTCAACAGGAAGGCAGATGATGGGGCATCTCGTGCCGGCTTTATGCCTTTTCTGGTGAAATTGGGCAACTCAGTGGACCTTTCCATGCTCTAGTTGCCTCATTTCCCTGCCTCTTTGGAGTAGTGGTAAAGATGAAATTTTGTGTGTGTGTGTATCGTATGCATAATATGTGTGCGTGTGTGTGTGTGTATGTATATGTATATATGACCATTTTGATGACCAAAGCAACATTCAAGTGGCATATTATTTCTTTTTCTCAAAATGTAGAAATACAATGTCTGAAAAGATTTTAAAATAACTTTTAATATTTTAAAATAAACTTTTAATAAACATCCTAACTGGACTTGTCACTCAACCATTCCCAGCCTCATTAAAAGGAGTATTCTATAGCTTGCTCTTCATCACAAAAGGTTTTTTTTCTATTATTATATGTGTAAATGTGAAAATAAGTAAAAGCATAGAGACTAGAAATAGACAACAATAACCTTCTCTAAGGGATCGCATGTTTTATTAGCCCTGAGTAGCTTGCTCTTCATCATGAAAGATTTTTTTTTCTATTTGTTATTATATGTTTAAATTTGAAAATAAGAGAAGTAAAAGCATAGAGACAAGAAATAGACAGCAATAACCTTCTCTAAGGGATCGCATGTTTTATTAGCCCTGAGTAAAAGGCATCATTTGTGGATTGTATCTACTTTATCACAAAGCTCTCACTTGGACTCATGCTCTGGAAATCAGATTTTGGTGGTAGGAATGGCCCCCACCAGATCCCATGCAGTGTTCTACCTTGATCATATCACACAGAGTTGGAGCAGAAAGTGAGCTCTGATCCCTGCTGTGCCAATTTCAAATATTTTGCTATGCCTTGTATGTTCTGAGCTTCCCTGAATAACCAACCAACTATAAATATGCCACGAATTTGTCTGTACCACTATTAAACTGACTTGTTTCTTCCAAATCACTTGCTTTTTGAGACAAGAAGATTCTTACGTTTCTGTGCTTCATGTAGAGGATTTTTTCCCCTAAAAATTGCTTCCTTAAAACTGTACATTCATATTCACAATTTATCCGCGCCAAACAGTTCATTTTCACCATTACCTGTTAAGAATCTTTTATTACACAAGTTCTTCATTAAGCATGAACAAGAGTAAGGGAGGCACCAAAAAACCACTTTGTTTTTTCCTTCTGTATCCAAACCATGATTATGAAGATTCCCATTGGAAGGGAATGCCAGGTATCAGAGGGTGTGCCTGGAATATTCTCAGCTGGAGTTCCTTATATTGGTTGAAAGGGTTTTGTGTTGTAATGTGTGCCCCTAATGTAATAGATGTTGAAACAATTCACATAATTGACATGGAGTAAAGTAAGTTGATTATGTCCTGCTTTATGCATTTGGACTATTACTGTACTTTTATTTTTCATGAGATTATGAGGAGATGGATAGTTCTGTTAAAAAGTGGGAAGTGGGACAGTTCCAATGTAGTGGGAAATTCATTTTCATTTTTTTGCCACTGTCTTTGTAAATGAAATTCCAGACATATTATTCAGACTGCAATTGCTTGATTTTTTTTTTTTTTTTCCACTTTGAAAATGAGTATCTTTGGACCAGGGATATCTTAGGGTCGGTGGGCGTAGCTGCCTGGAGCAATTTGCAGAGAAGACTTTTGAGACCACATCTGGGTTCCACAGAAAGGAGTGCTATAACCACCTTTCCATGTCTCCCTGTGGTCAACTCTCAGTGTCTGTCATTGGCATCAGATTGTGATGCAGGGGTACATTGCTGACCCCTTTCCAGGTACTGTGATTTTAGTATAGAGCTTTAGATCCTCTGGGAAGGCAGACATTCTCA